AGACAGTGCAGGAGAAGTTCCAAAGACCAGGAGATGATGCCCTATTTCTGTGTACGAACAGGCATTAAGACTGGGGTTGACCCCTAAATAGTCACATGAGTAACAGACACAAAGAAGCAAGTGCCAACTTTAAGCAATTAGTTATAGTATAAACCACTATACAACTTCCAAACTAACAGCTGAGGGGCACGTGCACTGACCAGACCCAAGCAGCACACGAGAGAACTGGCTTTCAAAACTTAACTGACCAACAGAAAGTGACAAAGAACTTGAGTCTGAATCTAAACAGATTTAATGATGAGTTAACAACACTACCACCATCACACACCATTACCAGGGGATTTTCACAGAGCTCTATTAAAATGACATTCAAAATATCTGGGATATAATCCCAACTTACTAGACATAGGAAAACCTGATAATTCTCAAGAGACAAGAGAACCAAGACATGCAATTGCCTAAATGACTCACCTGCTAGAATTATCTGACAACTAACGCAGGCATTACAGCCATTCTCCATAGGATAATGGCAAACATAAAGTTAGATCTTGTCAAAAGAGAAACATAAGCTACAAAAGAAGCCTTAATTTTTTTAACTTTTATTTATTTTAATATATTTATTATATCATTCTTCATTTTTGTACAATGTATGATTTCCCCATGAAATTCCTATCACCAATTCACCTATGTACTATCATCATAGTCTCTTGTGCTCTTCCCACCCGTCCTGATTCTTCTCTCCCTGCCTCCCCTATACAATGTCTCTGGTCTATAGTTAGAAGCCTAAACTTTTTAAAATTTTTATATCATTAAAAAAAGATTTATTTATGCATACAAAACTGGGGTACAGGCCAGGGGTGCAGGGACTGAGAGAGCACTCACCAGAGACAGAAATGGGGACCAGAATAGGCAGACGGATGAAGCACAGTGCTGAGGGGAGGAGCGGGTGAGACAGGAGAGGTCTCCCATGCCGTGTGGATCACCTCCCTGGCCAGGGATCAAACCTGTGTTGCAGTGGCTTTGCTAGCTTCATAGTGCTGTGCTTTAACCCCTTGCACACCAGGGAGGGCCCTATTTTACATCAGTCTTCATTTTGTTCATTTTTCCATCTTGTGTAATCCCTATGGGCTTCCCACCACCAATTCACCCATGTGCCATGACCATAGTTGCACACCTTTCCTACTCCATTTTTTATAACATTCCACTGTCCACCCCCGTAAAATGTCTCTGGTAAAGAGCTGTTTCTTTCTTTTTTTTTTTTTTGTTGTTGTTTTTTCTTTATTACAATTGCAAAGCCTAAACTTTTATAATTGAAAAGTATAATAGTTAAATAAAGATCATAGGATGGACTCATGAGCAGGATGAAGATAATGGAAAATGGAACTAGTGGGTTTAAAGACAGATAGGTTGAAATGATTCAGTCTGAATTACATAGAGAAAAAAGTCTGATAAATAATGAACAGAACATTCAGAAAGCTATGGTACAATATCAAAACACCAACATTCATTATTGGAGTACCAGAAGCAGAAAAGACAAAGACTGGTACACAAAAAATATGGCTAAAAATTCCTTTAGATTGACTAATGATACTTTCAAGAGTTACTAAAGTACAAACTGGATATACTCAAGAAAATCATACCTCAATACATCATGATCCAACTGCTGATAAACAAAGACATACAAAACATTCTTAAAATTAGAAAAAGGACCCAATATATATAGGGGAACAACAATTCAAAAGGCAATGAATTTATCCTCAACAACTATGAAGTTCCCCTCTCCCCAAAATGGCAGAATATCTTTAAATGTACTGGAAGAAAAGAACTCTCAACCCCAAAGTATATATCCAGTGGAAAAAGCTTTTAGGAACGATACTAAATTTTAAAACAAATTCACAGATGAAGAAAATCTAAATGAATTGATTGTCAGCACAAATCCTCATAAAACAAATCCTTAAGAAAATTCTTTAGGCTAAAGGAAAAAGATACCAGGAGGAAACGGAAAGCTGGAAGGAAGAGTAGTAGAAATAGTAACTATATAACGATAGACAATTTTCCGCCCTTCAGATTCTTAAAATATTTATGATGTCTAAAACAAAAGTAAAATACTGTCCAAGAAGTTTTCAGTGTTCTGTGGGTTGTGATAAGGTAAATAACACCTTTCCCCCCACCAAATGTCTATGTTCTAAGTGTAGTACCTGGGAAGATGTTACCTTACATGCAAAAGAAACTTTATAGGTGTGATTATGTTAAGGATTATGTTGGGATGGGGACATTCTTCTCCATTATTTGGGTAGGCATAATTTAACCATAAGATCCTTTTAAGTAAAAGAAAGTGGCATGAGCGAAAGAAACAGGGAGATGTGATAATGATATACTGCTGGCCTTAATTGTCCCTGAGACAAGGAAAAGGCAAGGGAACTGGAGTGACCAGAAGGATTACAACCTTGTTGATGCTAATTTTAGACCACTGAAGCCCATTTTAGACTTCTAACATCCAGAATTATATGATAATAAACTTGTGTTACCGTAAGACACCAGTTTATGGTAACTTGATAAGCAGCACAGGAAACTAACACATGATATAATAATCCATGTATTACATACAGTGAGTGTACATAAATTATATGAGGTAATACACCTAAAAGATAGACAGAAATAATGTGATACATACAATACATATTTAAAGTGGTAAAATACTAAGTGGAATATGAAATGTTACATATGCAACCCCAAAAGCAACCACTAGAAAGAAAAAACAAAACAAGAAACCCAGAGATATAAGCCCAAAGCCAAACTACATGGTTAAGTAAGTAATATTATAAAGGTCAAATAATATTAATTTAACCATATAGTTATCATTGAGGAAATAACCATATAGAAAATATCATTAACAAAATTAAACAGAAATGAAAAGATACAGTAATCAAAACTGTGGTACTAGCATAAAGATGGACCTAAAGATCAGCAGAAGAGAACTGAGAGTGCAGAAATAATGACATTTATGAGTTGATTTTCAATAAGTGTGCCATGACAATTAAATGTGACACAACAGTTTTTACAACAAATAGTGCTGGAACAACTTGATATTCATGTGCAGAAGATAGAGTGGCATTCTTTCCAAGTACCATGCACAAATGTTGACTTAAAGTGTATCATACAAGTAAAAACTAAACTAGGAAAATCTTAGAGAAAATATAATGAATCTTTGTGACTCTTGGGTAGGCAATAGTTTCTTACCCATGATACCCAAAACAAAAATGACCCAAAATAAAAGTAAAGTTATCAAAATTTAACACTTTTGTGCTTCAAAGAACATCATCAGGACATGAAAAGATAGTCAAAACATGTGACAATACTTTCACAAATCATATAGTTGATATATGGGATTTGTATCCATATAGGAAATAGATAAAAGGCATGTGCTGGTATTTCACCAAAGAGGATATACAGATGACAAATATGTTGACCATCATCAGCTAGCAAGGAAATGCAAATGTAAACCATGAGATACAACCAGATACTTTATCCGACTAGCTAAAGTAAAAAACAGTGAAATCACAAAATACTGATGAGGATGTACTGAAACTGGGTCAGTCACATATTGTAGAACAGTTTGGGGAAAATAGTTTGGAGGATTCCGATAAAACTCAATGTTATTATCATATGACCCAGAAATAACAGTATTGGGCATATATTCCAGAGAAAGAATTATGACTTCACATGGGACAACTGTGAAGGCCCATCCCAGCTCCAAAGTTTCTCAAAGAACTTTCTAAAATCCCTGTAAATGTATCACAGTTCATCTTTCCCCTTTGCCGAATGTCCTTCCATTTCTTAGAGGTGCTGTTCTCGAGGATATGTCTCATAGTCCCTTGCACATAAATCTTTCCTTTAGGGCTTGTTTATTAGGAAATTTAACCTAATCAGAATAAAAAATAAAGAGTCCATTCTAGTTGGTACATATGTGACATTTACATTTTGGGTGGAAAAGATTCATCTACTGGGTAAATAAGAATAGAATGATACATAAATTAATACAAAAGAGTTGAAAATTGCTAAGCTAAACATCAATTACAAACTGAAACTAAGTTATTAACCAGTATGGTATTGGATAGAAAATTAATAATAACAAGATAGATTGAACAATTTCTGGGTATTTACTAAGTGACATGGATTATGCCCAAGGCATTATATCTATTATTTCTATTGTTCTGAACTACCCTATCCTATGAAGTAGGAATTGCTATTCCCACTGAGTCCATTGCCAAAGGACTTATAATGAATAAGTGATATAGCTGAGAATTAAATTCTGGACTTCCCAGTTCCAAAGCTGTGTGCTTTATCTGGACCTCCTATAAGGGTCACTACTTCTATTTTTATCTTCCTCTAAATCATTCTTCATATTGCTGCTACAGGGATATTTCTAAAATATAACTCTAACCATGACTTTACCCAACTGAGAACTCTTTTCCCCTTATCTTTCAAATAAAGTTCAAACTCCCTACATGGTATTTCAATACAAGGTCTTCCTTCCTCTCTAGTCTTAACCCTTGCCCCCAAACAGCTCTAACAGTTCCAGTGGATCTTTCTAATATAGCTATATAGACGTTTTTCTAATTATATTCTATTTAGTTGTCTAGCACATTAACAAGAACTATTATTTACTGAGCCTGCTATGTGTCAGACTCCATACAAGGTGCTTTATGGTATACATTTCTTTAAATCTTCATAAGAAATAGGTATGTGTATTCTTATTACAGGCAAGGCTTCTGAAGATCACTAAAGTTAGGTAACAGGGGTAGGATGTGAACTTCATCTGTCTGACTTTTCTCCTTTCAGTCTATTTTATTTCAAATGTTTATTAAGTAAAAGTTCTCCACTTTCTTCATTCTATGGACATCATAATGCATAGATGTCTGAGGTGAAAATGTAGATAGAGGTATTTTAATGTCACAGATGCCTGATATTTAGAAGTACTTTAACACTTATGAACCTACCTGCATGAGGTCTCCAAGGCTTTCAACAAAAGAAATTTCTGCTTCTACCATATAAAACTCTGCCAGGTGTCTCCGACTCTGAGAATTCTCTGCTCGGAATGTAGGACCAAAGGTGAACACTTGAGTAAAAGCTCTGCAATTCAAGAGTAAGAATGTAAAAACAGGATTCACATGATTAATTTTAAGCATTTAAATTACCCAATAAGCTTCTAAGAAAAAGCTTTATGTCTCTGTCTTGTCCACAAATCCACATACACATTTCTCTAATGGGTAATAATAACAGTTTCAATAAAAATGTTACATTTATAGAAACCATTTTACCCTAAAGGAATTTGCAGATGCTACACAAACCCTATGGCTTACTAAATATAGAATTATAATAACTTCTGGTTCACTCTACTGCAGTTGCCATAAATAGCAGAGAACTACATTTCATGGCAATCAGGAATAGAATAAAGGAGAAAGCACAGAGTCCATGGAGAATCTAGATAGTATCAATTAAAACAAGAATTTCTTGTGAATAAGGTATGCTAGTTTTTTTTACATTAGTGAAAAAAGGTTATCCCGTTTGTATTGTAATTTACCTTGTTCAAAGTTTACTCAAGTCCTTTCTATCCAGCAAGCGGTTCATGCTGGAAGACCCCTGAAATCTGGGATTGAAAGTAGATTTTGAAGAACTATTTTAGTCTTCATTTTCAAGGGTTACCACTCAACTGTCCACATGGAAAATATTTCTAAATTAGTGCAAGACTACTTTTAAATTAAAAAACCCAAATGTTTAAAGTAAACTCTTCACAAGACTACAAGAAGAAATAAACTTTCCACAAGCTTATTGGAAGATATTTAACACATTGCTCCCAGTAATGGATAGAAAAAGCTGACAACAATTCAGTAAGCAGGACCCTCCCCAGTGGCTCAATGGGTTAGGATGCAGCACTGCAAGCTGGCCACAGCCACTTCAGTACAAGTTCGATCCCCGGCCCTGGAGGTGACCCATCTTTGTAAAAAATTAAGTAAGTACATAGAAATTTGAATAGCACAATTAATTTTATCAAATGAACATATGTAGAACTGTAACAGGGTGGTTCCCAGGTAAAGGAAGTTCCAGGTTCCCTGCCCTACCCAGAAGGAGGGTGGAGCAGAGCAGAGAAGAAAGAAGTCTGGGGAAGAAGAAAGCAGGATGGAGAGCCAGAAGGTGACCTGAGGAAGCCACATGGAGCAGAGAGACATGTGAAGAAACTGCTTGCTTCCTGGTCCTAGACTGGTTGAAACAGATGTGGGTGAGAGACCCGTGGGGAGGTTCACTATGGCAGCATTTATATTGATTTTTGACTGTGCTCTTTTCCTCCTAGACTTATCTGGCCATTTCTGACCCTTTTCTCTGGGTCCTGGCCAGAAGATGATTTAGTCTTGTGACAAGTTTTCAGGCCTTGCTTTGGGCCAATTCCTTTTGGGTAGACTTTTAACCACGAGGGGATGGGTAACTTCAGTTGTTTGATTTAGAAATTATATTCTTTGTCTTTTCTGTATTGTATACTCATTGTATTAAAGTTCCTTTCCATTAAAGCTCTTATGTCTTGTCTTGATGTGGCAGATGGCAGAAACTATTTAGAGCAGGCAGGTTTGGGGGTTCACAGGTGCCCCTGTCTCCCTGCCATGTAACAGAACAACTATCGAATATTTTTTAATCTACTGAACATTTATAAAAATAAAACATATACTGGGTAATAAAAAAGTGTTAACAAATTTAGAAAAAATAAAAATTATAAAGTATATCATCTCTGACAACAATGCCATTAAGCAGAAACTAATAGCAAAAGATAACTAAGAAATCAGTATGGTTTGAAATTAAATACCGTTCCAAACAACCCACAAACCAATGAAGACTAACATGGCTTAAATTAGACAGAAAGCAGACAAATAAATTACTGCAGAGAAATGGCTAGCACACTTTCATTCTTTAACACTTATAGATTCTTTCATATGGAAGCAAGGCAACAAATGAGTTAGATCAACCATATATAAAATAATGATTATTTCTTGAGATCTAATCTTTGGATTTTAAGAATTTACTAGTATGAAATAAGAGGTTTGAGGGCTCCATTATTATTTTGGGTAGTCTTTACTTATCTACTATCAGTCAAATAACATTGAGATAAAAAAAAATATATGTATTGTAGAGACACACACTAGTCTTTTTATTTGTTTGTTTTTAAGTGAAGAAATGAAACAGTAGAACAATGGTAGTGGAAACCAAGAGATTTACTTTTTTCCTTCCAAAGGCTATCTCAGTTAAGATCTGATAGTAAGAAGCTCACAAATTTATTTGGGCAACAGTCACCTTCCTAAGGTCATGATCAGCTAACCTTGGAGAACCTTTGTTTTTAATGGAAAAATAAACAGTAAGAATTTAAAAGTTACTACTCTGGCAACCTCCCCCTGCAAGATTCAGATCCAGACATACCTGCCTACTGGAGTGTTCCTGAAAAGATCTCCCACCCCTCAATAGTCCACATTACCATAAACATATGATCATAATAGCCTATTATTTACACCTAGCAAAATTCTCAAACCCAGAGATTCCTCTTTATCTCTACAACTGCTATCTCAGCATAAACGGCTGCATCTTACTTGAAAAACAACATAATTTGTTTTAATTGAAGGATTGATTAAATTGAATTATTTTAGAGGCACAGCATTATACTTTGATATGTATATTTTATAGGAGAGCAAAACCTGCCACCCCAAAACAAGCTTTTGGCAAGAGGTTTAAAACAGGTCAGACATACCCTTGGTATGTCCCCAACAAAAAGTCTGAAAATTAAAAAACCTTGAGTTTATAATAAACTTATATTGTGTTTCTGGTACCACATCACAAGAAATAGTATATATGTGTACACACACACACACACACACACATATACACACACATATATATAGAGGGAGAGAAAGAGAGAGTCATTAAAAACAAAGGCTATTTTACTGAAAAAATTTCCAGTGCATAAATAGAAACTATGTGGCATAAATGGAATTTATTTCACAGGCTCTGAGAGAGACTTCCAAGAAAAGGGTCATTATCTTCCTGAAGTACAAGGAAGACCAATGGGATTGCTGTTTGAAAAAGACATGTTATTTGTATCATGGTACTAAGTACAGAAAAAAAAAACAACAACAGTGATTTCTAAAAAAAAAAAACCTACAAATTCAAGTCACAAAGGTACCAGTGTTTCACATGATGATATTGGTGGGTGTGTCAAGATAAGTAACAATAGAGGTTTTTAAATTTTATGATAATGAATAATTTTGCTAGCAATGCAGGATATACTCCCAAATATAAAACAGGTAGGATGAATAGGGATTTTCATTTTGATTATAGTAAAGATCAGGATCTAAGTGAGCTTATCCAAAAATTAAACATTGTTCTAATGGGCTAAGAAATTATATTCTTTGTCTTTTCCGTATTGTATACTCATTGTATTAAAGTTCCTTTCCATTAAGCCAAGTTATAGAAACAATCCAAGTACCCAACCACAGATGAGTAGATAGAGATAATGTGGAATACATACCAATAGAATACGATTTGACAGTTAAAAGAGATGACATCTTGGCCCTCCATTGTGGCACAGCAGGTTAAAGCACAGCACTAAGAAGCTAAAGCCACTTCAGCATTTATTTATTTATTCGTACAGAACTGGGGTACAGGCCAGAGATGTGGAGGGTGAGAGGATTCACCAGAGACAGAGCGGGGTGCAGAACAGGCAG